GTGAATTCTGTGTGAAAGGTTTAGATTGGTAATTTAAATGCTCCAGGTCGAGAGAAGTGACTTCACTGCGTGCTTTTGGATCCCACATCAATGTGTCTCTTTCCACAGAATCTTTGTTGTATTAGCATGTACACAACCTGCTTTTTATATTTTGTTCAACTTTTAACCTATTTGTAAATATTTGCACATATTTTTATCTTCCTTGCAATTTTCCTCCTCCCTGCAATTTGGCCTATGGTATTTTGTTCCTACAAAGCCACTTCAATACCTGCTTAGTTCATGTCCCGCTTGTGTATGTATGTATGTATAAACATATATATTATATACATATAATATTTTATTGAAGTACAGCTCGACTTCTATAACATTTGTAATATAGGGTATATGCCTAATGACCTTTTAAAATCTACATTTATTGCTCTGTCAAAGAAACCAGGCACTTTTAAATGCAAAAACTATCGTACCATAAGTCTTATTAGTCACGTGAGAAAAATGTTACTGAAAATAACAATGAGAAGAAAATGAAACAATTTTAAACCAGGAATTAGTGAGAAACAGTATGGGCTTGTGGAAGGAAAAGGAACGAACAATGTCATATACACCCTCATGACTCTTTTGAAAATACCTATAGAAGTAAAAAAAAAAAAAACGTTCTTTACTTATGCTTCATTGACTCTACGAAAGCTTTTGACTGTGTGAAACATGAGGAAATATTCAAACTACTGGAAAAGCTTTAACATTGATGGAAACGATTTACGAACTGTAAAGAACATATATTGGCAGCAAACACAACCTATAAGAGTTAATAACAGTTTAAGAACATTTCAAAGCACAAAGAGGGGAGTAAGACATAGATGTGTATTATCAACTGATTTGTTTTTATTATACAGTGAATATATAATGAGACCTATCATGGATATACCAAGAATTCTGGTTGGTGGTCATAACATAAACAGCTTACATTATGCTGATGACAACATCTTGATAGCAACAAGTCAAAATAAACTAAAGGAATTAACAAATACGGTGGTGGCAGAAAGTGATAAAACGGGCCTGTTTGAATAACGGGAAGACAGAAGTAATGGTGATTTCCAAGAATAGAATAGTGCCTAAATGTGTAATTGAAGTCAAGGGCGTTATTTCATTACTTGTACAGAAATGGTATCAGGAAGGAGGGGCAGGGGCCGACTAACACGAAGATGGGCACAGTGACTCCTTGAGAATGAAAGTACATGAGGCGGAAGAGCTGGCGAGAGACCAAGTTTCTTTCAGGCAGACCGTGATGAGAGCGACGTTCCACAAAGGACCTGCTACATGATGATGATAGAAATTGAAGTATCTAGGTACATGGATAACATACGATGGAAGATGTATCATTGAGATAAAGAACAGAATAGGACAAGCCACAACTACATTTTAAAAAATGGAGAACATTTGATGTAATAAATCCCTGTATTTGGAGGTTAGGAACAGAATTCTGGCGTGATATGTAGAGCTAGTTTCATCAAACGCATTTGAAGCCTGGACAGTTAATAAACAAGCCGAAGAATATCTTGAGACCTTGGTGATGTGGTTTGACAGAAAAACCTTTAGAATTCCCTGGACAGCTAAGAAGATCAACCCAGATGTTTTGAAAGAGGGGAGGGGGTGGTCAGCAGACGAAATGGTTCTTAGCCTTCCATGCCTGCTATGGTGGCCGATTTTCTCCCATGCCGCATACATATCCAAACCATAGTAACTGTGATTGATCCACTCAGGTTTGTAAGGCCTTGGTTTCAAGATCTTGACGTATTGTCTGAGAGCGGACTTTGTCCCTTCTTGTCACTTGGGCCACCTTTCTCATATATCTCATTTCTGAGGTCTGAAGCTGGCTTCTGTGAGCTGTTGTCATTGCCCATGATCTACACCTGTAGGTCAGGACTGGTACATAGGTAGAGCGGTAAGCAGCCATTTTCGTCCTCTTGCCGATTTCTCTTTTGCTAAGACGCCCTCGATTTATGGTCTGAAGAGTCTCCCGGCTGCTGCTTTTCGAGTAGCCAGCTCAGTCTTAATGCCTCCATTTCGGTTTAATACAACTCCAAGGTATTTGAACTGGTTAACCTGCTCCAATGCATACTGTCCCATCATGATTTGGTGTTTCTTCTCCTCTCGAGATCACCATGGTTTCAGTTTTGGAGATACTTAAAGTCATCCCTCTCTTCTCAAGCTATTCTTTGCAGACAAGTAAGTTGGACTGAAGGTTTGCCTCTGTTTTAGCTATGAGGGTTCGTCGTCTGCAAATGCTAGCTTTGATATACAGTTTGGTCTCATCTTCCAGTACCCTACAGAGTACTTCTGTGTCTTCTCCTTACAGGTCTTGATGACATTATCCATCATGAGAATGAAGAGGTAAGGTGAGAGAATATCACCTTGTCGAACACCGATAGTGGTCTTAAATTCTTCTGACTTTTGGTCTGCTGTGTTTACATAATTTTTGCAGCTTTTGTAGAGACTGTACTGCACTGATCAGGGGTGCTGGAGTGTTTTTTCCTACCAAGCAGTCCCAGAGCTTGCTGCAGGGGACTTTATCAAATGCCTTTTGTAGAATAAAAAAGAACATAGGTGCATCTCACTCTTATATTCAAGGGCTTGTTCACTCATCTGTCTCAGTGTGAAGATAAAGTCTTGAGTCATTCGGTTTGCTCTGAAGCCGCACTGGGCCTGATCATCCTGACAGTCATCAATGGTCTTTTGGAGCATTTCAAAGAATTCTTCTTTGACATCTACTGGCTCGTCTTCATTTGGCCTAATACACAATAATAATATTGACAATTGTATTATCTTCTTTAAGATCAACCACCCTAATTCGCTCCAAGATTAATTTCAACGCCTTAATGTTACTAACTTGATTCAAGGCCACAATACAGCCATCACCTCCTCTGACTCTCTCCGTCGTAGGGACACCACTGTAGAGCAGCATACTTCCATCATGATCTGTGATTCCTTGCCCCTTTTTCTTGGTTTCAGTCAGAGCCAAGATTCTTAATTTTGCTCTTCTCATCTCCCCTATTACCTCACTTTCCATCCCGTTAATGCCTCGTATGTTCCATGTTCCGTTAATCGTTGTCCGTAAGCCATGCCAGTTCGTCGTTGTTAAGATCCGTCCGGTTTTCTCTCTGTGGTAACTTGTATTCATAGTTTAAGGCAAACAGGTGATTGGCCTGTTGTGCCTTTGCATGGTGAAGGGGCTGCCTCCTTGCGGCCTCCATGCAGGCCGTCTGGCTGATTCACGGTTACCCACTACTTCCGGAGACGCATGAAGCACTCAGGTCAGCCAAACCCTTCTCCTTTTACTGCAGGGTTTGGGACCGGTCTTAGTGGAGTTGCAATTAACAACAAAGAAACGAGGTGCCACTATTCGGATGATCCCCCAAGCGCAAGTCCTAGATAACTTGTTGAAGTAGTAGGGAGATAGGATGACTTGGAGCGAAAGGTTCGTCTGGAGACAGACCGCTTTGCGCTGACTGTGGCAACGACATGGCGTCGGTCGTTCAGGGGGCAGTCACAATAACAAGCTAGTGAATGTAAAATTGCCTGGTCAACCAGAAACAGATAACAATTGATGGGGCTTAAGGTCTTACAAACGAATACGCATCTAACTTGAATTGTACGTTAATAAATGCGAGTAATCTGACTTCTCAGGTGTCACTTCCAAAGCAAGATGTCGTGTTCATCTATAGGCAAGTGTATCATCATCCTTGTCAACAGCTTCTTTATGGTAAGATCATCATCATCATCACCATAATCATCAACATCATCATCATTATCACCATTTTCATCATCATTATCTTCATCATGTGCCATGTCGATACACGTTTCATGGTTGGCCATGCCAAGTTCTCAGCTCAGATTGACACTATCATTCCATTCAACCAAACATCAAAGTATTTCATGGCTCTATCAACTAATTTCCCTGTTCCCACACATGTTCTCTAAGCTGATTCGTCTTCGCTTTCCTTCTCTTCGTCGCCTGCTCAAGCCTGACTGATGGTCTACATCTAGTTTTTTTATCATCAGCTTAGGAGCCTCACTTGTTTCTTGAAGGATTTTCTAGGGCTGTGATGTTTTTTCGTCCTTTTATTTTGCATTTTACATTTAAAGTTTTACGGAAAAGCCTGATTAATTTCAGTTTTTCTGGATTCTTTGTGTCTCAGGGCTTGTTTGAATGAAACAAGTGAAACAATTGAAACAAGTGAAACAGGTGAAACAAGTGAAACAGGTGAAACAAGTGAAACAGGTGAAACAAGTGAAACAAGTGAAACAAGTGAAACAAGTGAAACAAATGGAACAAGTGAAACAATTGAAACAAGTGAAACAGGTGAAACAAGTGAAACAAATGAAACAAGTAAAACAAGTGAAACAAGTGAAACAGGTGAAACAAGTGAAACAAATGAAACAAGTGAAACAAGTGAAACAAGTGAAACAAGTGAAACAAATGAAACAAGTGAAACAAATGGAACAAGTGGAACAGGTGAAACAAATGGAACAAGTGAAACAATTGAAACAAGTGAAACAGGTGAAACAAATGGAACAAATGAAACAAGTGAAACAATTGAAACAAGTGAAACAGGTGAAACAAGTGAAACAAATGAAACAAGTGAAACAAGTGAAACAAGTGAAACAAATGAAAAAAGTGAAACAAATGGAACAAGTGAAACAATTGAAACAAGTGAAACAGGTGAAACAAGTGAAATAATGAAACAAATGAAACAAGTGAAACAGGTAAAAGAATTGAAACAAGTGAAACAAATGAAACAAGTGAAACAATTTAAACAAATGAAGTAAGTGAAGTAAATGAAACAAGTGAAACAATTGAAACAAATGAAACAAGTGAAACAATTAAATCAAACGAAGTAAGTGAAGCAAATGAAACAAGTGAAACAATTGAAACAAGTGAAACACGTGAAACACGTGAAACAGGTGAAACAAGTGAAACAAGTGGAACAAGTGAAACAGGTGAAACAAATCCAGTCAGTAAACAATGATATCCTGTGGGTACGCTGCAAGAAGAGGTAATCAGAGACTGTCGTGACAACGGAACATGGAGAACAAAACAGAATGATGTTGGTTAGTTATGGTAGCCATGTACAACTGTATCAACTGTGTAACTGACATTGCATCAGACAGAAGATGCCGGGCAGTCTGTTATCATAGCTAGTATGTATATCTGTCTATCTATGATCAAAGGGAACAAAGTTATGTAATGGACGCATGAAGAGTTGCGAGCGACCAATATGATTAGCAGACCATGACAATGCTCAGTATGACCGTTTGGAGTGAAGGTCAAGGCCATAGGGGAAGCACAAAGCCTGAGCAGTATCGCTGTGACCTTGTGTTTCCCATCCACCGTAATTCTCTTCTCAGTTGTCTTTTTTACACCTAGGAAAGGTAACACCAATACTTTTGGAACTAAGCCTACTACAGAAGTTGCCATTCAGAAGAGCAGTCCTGTGTCTGCCTGCACGTCGGAGCTTCCCTCCTGCACCAGCATGTCTTCTAGAGTGATACACCTGAACATGGCAAGGTAATAACAGCTTGGGTAACTGACATGTACCGCACCTGTGGAAGACGCATCGACGTAACTGATTTCACCAACACTGCAAGAATCGTTTAATTCATTCATATACCAACTTACTGTAATATCAGTTAGGCAATGATCTTTAATAATTTTTGTTTTTAACACATATTTCCAGCTGGTGGGTTTGGCTTTTGCGGCTGTGGGCGTCATCCTGTCTTTCTTCCCCAACTTCTTGCTGGATCAGATCTACGACACTGTCAAAGAGTCCCTGGGTATGAACAAATGTCACTTCTCATCACCATAAACATCCTCCTCGTCATTATCATCGTCATCATCATTAACATTGACCCTCATCATTATTATCCCCATCTTCACCAACATCCACGTCATCGTCATCATCAAGTAATACGACTCTACCAATTAATAACTTTCGCTGATGTCAGACAGGTATATAGGGGATATTTTTTTTCTCAGTTGAATTGAATTGAGAAGGGATATAACGGGACACTCACATAAGCGCTCCATTCCCATCGTCAGCAGCCAGTGCAGAGCTCCAATACCAGTAGTACTAGCATTATAGATTATATTGTGCCTCTTGCCTTTGATGTATACGCTGGCGGCACTGCTGGCTTACGCTCGCGGCTCTGATGGCATACACTCGCGACACCCCTGTGTACCGCGACACTCCTGGCATACTCTCGCGACACCCCTGTGTACCGCGACACTCCTGGCATACTCTCGCGACACCCCTGTGTACCGCGACACTCCTGGCATACTCTCGCGACACCCCTGTGTACCGCGACACTCCTGGCATACTCTCGCGACACCCCTGTGTACCGCGACACTCCTGGCATACTCTCGCGACACCCCTGTGTACCGCGACACTCCTGGCATACTCTCGCGACACTGCTGGCATACTCTCGCGACACTGCTGGCATACTCTCGCGACACTGCTGGCTTACGCTCGCGGCTCTACTGGCATACACTCGCGACACCCCTGTGTACCGCGACACTCCTGGCACACTCTCGCGACACCCCTGTGTACCGCGACACTCCTGGCATACTCTCGCGACACCCCTGTGTACCGCGACACTCCTGGACATACTCTCGCGACACCCCTGTGTACCGCGACACTCCTGGCATACTCTCGCGACACCCCTGTGTACCGCGACACTCCTGGCATACTCTCGCGACACCCCTGTGTACCGCGACACTCCTGGCATACTCTCGCGACACTGCTGGCATACTCTCGCGACACTGCTGGCATACTCTCGCGACACTGCTGGCATACTCTCGCGACACTGCTGGCATACTCTCGCGACACTGCTGGCATACTCTCGCGACACTCCTGGCATACCCTCGCGGCATCCATATGTACCGCGACACTCCTGGCATACGCTCGCGACACTCCTGGCATACCCTCGCGGCATCCATATGTACCGCGACACTCTTGGCATACCCTCGCGGCATCCATATGTACCGCGACACTCCTGGCATACCCTCGCGGCATCCATATGTACCGCGACACTCCTGGCATACGCTCGCGACACTCCTGGCATACCCTCGCGGCATCCATATGTACCGCGACACTGCTGGCATACGCTCGCGACACTCCTGGGTGCCGCTGCACCCAGTTTGAAAACCGCTGATGTAGAGAGTATAGCAAAGATCTGCTGGTCAGGTCCCGCAACAACATACCAAATAGATGGTTATGATACCTGTGTTTGTGCTGCATTATCAGGTATTCATGTCATGGCACTAGTCCTGGAAGTAAAGGAGGCCGGTCTGATGTCGACCACATTACCCACCGAGTGCCGATTGGTCTAAAAATATAAAAAGGGTCCTGTACTTACTTCACTTATGTAACCGCAGATCCAATTTCTGGTCTCTTGTTGACAACGAAAACCTCACCGAATGTCGATCAGTGTCCCTTGTGGAAAACTTGGCACATGCTGCAGTCTCGGCAAATCCAATAGTATACACTTGCATTCAATGCATAAGGCATCCGATGAAGCAGTAGTTACAATATCTCAGTAATTACAATATCTCAGTAGTTACAATATCTCAGTAGTTACAATATCTCAGTAGTTACAATATCTCAGTAGTTACAATATCTCAGTAGTTACAATATCTCAGTAGTTACAATATCTCAGTAGTTACAATATCTCAGTAGTTACAATATCTCAGTAGTTTTACAATATCTCAGTAGTTTACAATATCTCAGTAGTTACAATATCTCAGTAGTTACAAATCTCAGTAGTTACAATATCTCAGTAGTTACAATATCTCAGTAGTTACAATATCTCAGTAATTACAATATCTCAGTAGTTACAATATCTCAGTAGTTACAATATCTCAGTAGTTACAATACCTCAGTAGTTACAATACCTCAGTAGTTACAATATCTCAGTAGTTACAATACCTCAGTAGTTACAATATCTCAGTAGTTACAATATCTCAGTAGTTACAATACCTCAGTAGTTACAATACCTCAGTAGTTACAATACCTCAGTAGTTACAATATCTCACGCGATTAATCGCATAATATGTTGTATTAGTTCTGTGTAAGTCGAATAGTTTCCTTTCACAAACCTTTAATGTAGGAATTTTGTGTTTGACAACTGCTAGTCTTCTTCATGTTCACTGACTGTACACTCAGGTGCTAAGTTCTGATTGTTCGTCCACTTCTGGACTTTTATCCTGTTCCAGAACCTGAGTGCTGAGTGCACATAGGTTGTACAGATCTGATACATTCTGTATGCAGACTGTTGGTTCCTTGCTTCTCAGGCAGATGCATTCCGAATTCTAAGGAAGCTACCAATTAGTCGACTCTTACGACACGCTTTTTGGGTAGACAGATTCATGTTGTTACCCCACAAGGGTGCTCCCAGAATCCACGAAAGAGGATGGGGGCTGTGGGGGTTGTGGGGGGGGGGGTGACACCGATGTCTCTCATCTTGTATCCGGCCGTTCTCTCGCATCTGATGTTGAAATCAGCAGCTTACCACGACATAATCATCATCATCATCATCATCATCACTACTACCACCGTCATCATCATCATCATCACTATCATCATCATCATCACCACCACCACTACCATGACCATCATCGTCGTCATCATCATGATCATCACCATCATCATCATCATCATCATTACCATTACTACCATTATCATCATCATCATCATCATCATCACCACCACCACCACTACCATCACCATCATCGTCGTCATCATCATGATCATCATCATCATCGACACCACTACCATCATCATCATCATCACCACTACCATCATCATTATCGACACCACTACCATCATCATCATCGTCGTCATCATCAGCATCATTAAGAATTTCGTTATCATTTCTTGTCAACTTTCTTTCCTTCTTTGTTTTGTTCCATTCTTGTTGAAACTGTGAACTGACTGCTGCCCACAGATACAGATTTCAAACAAGGACACATCAAGATACCAGACACGGCGGACAACTTGAAGCATCTGCCGTTCTTAAACGAGCTGGGTGTTGCTCTGCTGATCCTCGGGGTGGTTCTCTTCCTCGTCGCCTGGCTGGGTTGGTGTGGTGCCTGCTGCACTTCTTGTTGTCGGTGCTTGCTGCTCGTCGTAAGTGACAGAATAGTAGTTCTTTACTTCAATCACGGGTTTCATGTCCAGGGGAAAAACTTCGTGGCAAGGCGTTTGATACCATATGGCTGAAGTGCAGAGGTGCTGAATCGGGGTCGTGTCCTGCTATGATACAGAAAAGTGGCGTTTCCAGGCGGCACCGTACGGGGGCAGCATAATCAACGAAATCAAATATAATTTGAACTTTTGATTTGACAGTGCGAAGCTATAATTTTTGTTGTTAATACACCGTGCGGTGACTCCCAAAAGCTGAAGCAGCAATGATCACAAAAGACAGTTGCACGCGTTACGCGTTCTACTTTCAGCTTACAATTTTTGACAATATTGAAGGTTATTTGAAAGAATTAAAAACATTGAAGGGGCGGCAACTGGAAGATGTGCATCACGGCTCTGTGCTGAACAATAAGTGGCGCTGCACTATGGCTAGGACTCATACATCACATTGGTCACTCTAGAAACAGTTTGCCAGATAGGGTCCACGCTTGCTTCAAAGTAAGACTGCATCTGCCTGAGAAAGGAGAAACCAACAGTCTGCATACCAGTAAGCCATAGCTGGGCCGGTAACACCCAAGACCTGAAACAAGGCAACAATCCAGAAGTGAACGAGCAACCAGACTTTCCGCTGGAAGTTGCATCCGGTCAACGCCAACAAAAAGAAGATGCCGTCCCAGAACTGTTAGCGGTCTGTCGAGAGCGTGGGACAAAGCAACATGTCTGTCAAAACGGCACCCGCCAAGTCAGTGGTGCGGTGCCTAAACCGAACCACCAGACGTTTAGAGCACGAGACAAACTGATTAACTCCTTATCCGTGAAGACACAATTTAACCTTTTCAGTCGCACATAATTGTTACTACAACACTCCCAGCCCCTCCTTCGGTGAACACTGGGTAGACAGATGTGAGTTTTCTTGAGTTAAAACAACAAAGTTGTCGGACACAATCAGCTACAATAGCAATAATAACTGCGGCAGCAATGAGATAATGTACTAGTGAGTGAGTGAATGTGAACCCCAATGAGGTAATGTACTAGTGAGTGAGTGAATGTGAACCCCAATGAGGTAATGTACTAGTGAGTGAGTGAATGTGATCCCCATCAGGACCGCACACTGACCAACAACACACTCTGTGACCCAAAGTGAAGTAAGTTAGTTAGTTAGTTAGTTGGGTTATCATTATTGCACTCCGGACATGTCCATAGGTGCTCAGATCCTCCCCTCAGTATGAATCCCAACGTCCGATGGCTAATAGTACCAGTTCTATGTTGATTAACAAATCTTCTGACGTGTCCGGTGTGCGTCTCGTTTTTTGCTGTGCCGATCTTAATTCCCAAGTCTGCCATTCTGGCGAGTGATGTGGATTCACTGCCACCAAAGTCCTCTATCCTTCCCATTTCTCTGAGGGCATTGATAATATCAGCATGATCCTATAGGCCGACCGTCGGTAGTGATAGCGGATCCAGCCCAGGCCTGTCAGCTCTTTCATTTCCATCGACGCCTGCGTGTCCCGGAACAAAAATAAAAGGTGACTCCTCGCACAGTGGACTTCTGAATCACACAGAGAGAGAGAAACACACACAGACACACACACACATACACACACACACTCACACACATATGTGCTGCTCTCTTGTATATATTATAACAGCATTTAGTTTATATATATATTCATATATATAATGTCGCAAGCTTTGATTTGTTTCCATGATTTATGATGTCTCACGTTCTATAAATTTCTCAATGATTTCTCCTCTGTGATTACTGCTGATGCTCTGTTTCCGGTGTTCTGTGACGTGTTGCACCACCCACAGTTTGCACTGGTTCTGCTGGTGATCGTTCTGGCAGAGACCGCCACGGGCGCCATGTTCCTGGTCACCGATTCTCCGGTAAGTTATCACCTCAGTCACAACAATAACAGGCCATGTCCAAAATGTTGTCGTCATTAAATATTTAGTCTTAAAATATTGCAATAACTTATCATTCCGGGTAGGTTTTCTTTTTGAGTGTAACATCATTTAGTTATCTCTAGTAAATTATCGTCTCGGTTTCATAAATACTTGGATATATCTAGAAAGTTATGATGCCGTTTATAACAGCGATAAAATATGTCTAGTAAGTTGGGAGTGTCATTTGATAGAGAAATGATGAGAATATGCTGCACAGATAAACAGAGTAATGAAGACGTCCTAAAAAAAACTGCCTCACGAAGAGAATTGATTGCCCGCATCATAAGGAGATAATCTACATTCTTTGGTCATATCATCAGAAGGAGAAAACTGGAGTGCATCGTGAAGGTAGGAGAGAAAAAAGGCAGAGAGAGACCGAAATATAACATGCCGTACAGTTTGACATCATGGCATGCAAGATCCTCTTTGTCAGAACTGACTGAAAATACACGAGACTGAAGATTGTGGATAGAAAATAATATCAACGCCACACGGCATGGACTAGAGGGAGCAAGCTGCCTTAATAACAACACTTTGTTGTATCTAATAAGTTCTCCCCTAAATGTTTACAATGTTCAGTTTATCAGGTAATCAGTGTAAATTAACTAGTTTCATGGAAGTGCTATTGATCAATACAAAGCTGCCATTTGCATTGTAAAATATGACCTCATACTGCCCAACATGCTTTACCTGGCCATTGTGTGTCACAGCTGCACGAGAACCTCCGGAAGGAGCTCAAACAGAAGATTCACGACGATTTTAACGAGACTAGCCAGGATTCCTTCAGTGCTGTCATTGTGATCATCAACGATGTGGTACGTCTGTGTGTTCAGAAAATATCCTAGCTTGTGCGACTATTCGATTTCTTCTTTTTTTCAATTCATCCTTACAATGATTATGTGGTGTTATGGTTAACAGCTAAAGCTGTGATATCCGCGCCTTTTGGCCCAACACATCCTATTTCAGCAAATCCCCAAACGAGTCGCCCTTCATCAAATGCCTTTCAACTGGCAATGGGTAAATGTGTGGTAAGTGTTGTCAGTTGTACATGTGTGGTAAGTGTTGTCATTTGTAAATGTGTGGTAAGTGTTGTCAGTTGTAAATGTGTGGTAAGTGTTGTCAGTTGTAAATGTGTGGTAAGTGTTGTCAGTTGTAAATGTGTGGTAAGTGTTGTCAAATGTAAATGTGTGGTAAGTGTTGTCAAATGTAAATGTGTGGTAAGTGTTGTCAATTGTAAATGTGTGGTAAGTGTTGTCAAATGTAAATGTGTGGTAAGTGTTGTCAGTTGTAAATGTGTGGTAAGTGTTGTCAGTTGTAAATGTGTGGTAAGTGTTGTCAGTTGTAAATGTGTGGTAAGTGTTGTCAAATGTAAATGTGTGGTAAGTGTTGTCAAATATAAATGTGTGGTAAGTGTTGTCAATTGTAAATGTGTGGTAAGTGTTGTCAAATGTAAATGTGTGGTAATTGTTAGAAGTTCATCTGCTCACTAGTCTTCCTTATGCTCTATTATCCACACAGATGGCTCTGTTTTGAGAGGCAGACAAAGTGCAAGGGGGTTCATCGCAAAAGCGAATGGACGTCGCTAATGGTAGCAAAGCCTGGCCTGTGATATTACATCTAGTAATACTTGAGAATCAGCTGTACACACATGTCGTAATTGTAAATGACTCACAGAACATGATGAGAAAGGTGGATATACTCATGCTCCGTGCAGAGTGGCAAGCATCACTTCAGAGGTCCTGGGTAGTTAGCGTCCTTTGGATATTTTCTCCAGGTCACGATGGTGTTTAGGTTTAAACGACGGATCAACATTATGGTACAAGGGTAATAACCTATAAGTGGTCCGTTCTACTTCTAACTCTAAAGAATCTCAGCGCAGTGCACAAACTCCGTAGCACCTGCGAGGATACTGAAATACATTGGGTAGATTGTTAACTTCAAATTTTCGCCAGGGCAGTGCCGTTAGGCTTCTCTTTTCGATTTCCTCCAGGGTATTTTTTACGTGCGCATCAATACACACGGGCGTCCGAGCTTATTTCTCAGAGACTAGGGGAAATTACTTGAAGTCCGCGTGAAAAAAATCCCAGCCTTCACTGGGGCTTGAACCGGGGACCTCCAGCACTCGAAGCGGACGCTATGCCTCGAGACTACGCAGCCCTCTATGCGTGTGTGTACTACAACTGTCTTTTCAAAGCCTGGTCTCAGATGGCTGGGTCACACCTGGAGAATGGAGGATGGCAAAGTCCCTAAGGACATCCTTTAGGGTAAAATAAATACGGGTAGAAGATATCAAGGCCGACCTATACTACGATATAAAGATGTGTGCAAGCGGGACATGAACGAAATTCCATTGATCGTGTTATAGGGAGGGGCACATAAGAAAAGGAATGAGAATGAAAGAAGAAATTGTTACAGAAAGGATGAGAGCTGACGTCTGAGAAGAAACGGACTAGTGCTGAGGTATAAGAAGAAACGGACTAAACACAAATGTTGACAACAATGGTCCTGAAATCCCATGCTATCATTGTGGAAGTCTTTTTTTTTTACGTGGGTGGGTCTTGCGAGTCACACTCGCCACTGCCATGGGCTGTGAATCCAGTGCCTCCTCATGGCGCAATCATAACACTATCGTCTGGAAAGACGGAAAGCGCTAATAATGCTGGTGTGTGGGGAAACGAGCAGGCTGATAGACTGGTCGGGTTCTGCCCCACTTGGTGGTGAAGGGGTGCATGACAAGCTAGGCATTGCGAGGGCCCTTTGGCATCGAGTGATTAGAGCAGAGGCACATATCAATCATTACGGTGTGAGAAGAATGGCGCTGTTAGGAGCTACCGGGGGAGGGAACTGACTGAAGCTTAGCACTGAAAGGAGGAGAGGGGGGAGACGAACGTCCAATCGGCAGTTGCAGGTGCCATCGCCATGAGAACTCGGTGCTTGCTGCTTAAGATGGGGGCAGGGAGCTTATGGGAGTACCCCGAGTGCTATGATGTCAATTCCTAATTCAATATTCACCACTGTCGTGTTCTGTAACTATCTAGCGTCTAGGGTAGATAACACAAACGCTACACAGCTTCCTTATACATACCATCAGTTTATTCAGTCACATTTATTCCACATGTTTCCACAATTATTCAGACTTCTATCGCTCGCGACCTATTCAAACACTGGTCACTCGCACGACATAAGACAACATCTTCTAGTACTACAACCGTCTTCTATGACTTCTCATGATCAACTGACCACGAGGCTATCTCGGACTTCCCCTCGTGTACTCGACCAGCCACAAGTATCTCGTGCAGTCACTTGTAGCTCGGATTTTCCACTTTGCTCTTTAGGTGCGTGGTGACCATGCAAATCACCTCATCACATTGAGCGATCGCACCACCCCATTCTCTGTCTCACTATACAACAACAGCCTGATGTTCAACCGTGTATCGTCTGAAAAAGGGAAATAGGTTTGTTTGGATCGATAACACTGTGTTCCTTGTCCCGTTTGTTGCTAATACCATCTCCAACACTGTGTTCCTTGTCCCCTTTATTGCTAATACTATCTCCAACACTCTGTTCCTTGTCCCCGTTGTTGCTAATACCATCTCCAACACTCTGTTCCTTGTCCTCTTTATTACTAATACCATCTCCAACACTCTCTTCTTTGTCATCTTTATTGATAATACAATCTCCAACACTCGGTTCCTTGTCCCCTTTATTGCTAATACCATCTCCAACACTCTGTTCCTTTTCCCCTTTATTGATAATACCATCGCTAACACTCTGTGCCTTGTCCTCTTTATCAAAAATACCATCTCCAACACTCTGTTCCTTGTCCCTTTAATTGGTGGTGGTACCACTCCAAATCACACATCTGTTTCTTGTCCCCTTTATTGCTAATACCATCTCCAAAACTATGTTCCTTGTCCCCCTTATTGCTAATACCATCTCCAACACTCTGTTCCTTGTCCTTTTTATTACAAATACCATCTCCAACACTTGGTTCATTGTCCCCTTTATTGCTAATACCATCTCCAACACTCTGTTCCTTGTCCTCTTTATTGCTAATACCATCTCCATCACTCTGTTCCTTGTCCGCTTTATTGCTAATACCATCTCCAACACTCTGTTCCTTGTCCCCTTATTTGCCAATACCATCTCCAACACTCTTTCCTTTGTCCCCTTTATTGCTAATACCATCTCCAAAACTATGTTCCTTGTCCCCTTTATTGCTAATACCATCGCCAACACTTTGTTTCTTGTTCCCGTTGTTGCTAATGCAATCTCCAACACTCTGTTCCTTGCCATCTTTTTTAAAAATACCATCTCCAACACTCTGTTCCTTGCCATCTTTTTTAAAAATACCATCTCCAACACTCTGTTTCTTGTCCCCTTTATTGCTAATACCATCTCCAGCACTCTGTTTCTTGTCCCCATTATTGCTAATACCATCTCCAGCACTCTGTTTCTTGTCCCCATTATTGCTAATACCATCTCCAACACTCCGTTTCTTGTCCACTTTATTGCTAATACCATCTCCAACACTCTGTTCCTTGTCCCCATTGTTGCTAATACTATCTCCAACACACTGTTTCTTGTCCCCGTTGTTGCTAATACCATCTCCAATACTCTGTTCCTTGTCCCCTTTATTGCTAATACCATCTCCAACACTCTGTTTCTTGTCCCCTTTGTTGCTAATACCATCTCCAACACTCTGTTCCTTGTCCCTTTATTGCTAATACCATCTCCAACACTCTGTTCCTTGTCCCCGTTATTGCTAATACCATCTCCAACACTCTGTTTCTTGTCCCCTTTGTTGCTAATACCATCTCCAAAACTCTGTTCCTTGTCCTCTTTATTGCTAATACCATCTCCAACACTCTGTTCCTTGTCCCCGTTGTTGCTAATACCATCTCCAACACTCTGTTTCTTGTCCCCGTTGTTGCTAATACCATCTCCAATACTCTGTTCCTTGTCCCCGTTATTGCTAATACCATCTCCAACACTCTGTTTCTTTTCCCCTTTGTTGCTAATACCATCTCCAAAACTCTCTTCCTTGTCATCTTTATTGATAATACCATCTCCAACACTCGGTTCCTTGTCCTCTTTATTGCTAATACCATCTCCAACACTCTGTTTCTTGTCCCCTTTGTTGCTAATACCATCTCCAACACTCTGTTCCTTGTCCCCTTTATTGCCAATACCATCTCCAACACTCTGTTCCTTTACCCCTTTATTGATAATACCATCGCCAACACTATGTGCCTTCAGCTCTTTATCAAAAATACTATCTCCAACACTTTGTTCCTTGTCCCCTTTATTGATAACACCATCTCCAACACTCTATTTTTTGTCCCCGTTGTTGCTAATACCATCTCCAACACTCTGTTCCTTGTCCCCTTTATTGCTAATACCATCTCCAACACTCTGTTAATTGTCCCCTTTATTGCTAATACCATCTCCAACACTCTTTTCCTTGTCTCCTTTATTGCTAATACCATCTCCAAAACTATGTTCCTTGTCCCCTTTATTACTAATACCATCGCCAACACTTTGTTCTTTGTTTCCCGTTGTTGCTAATGCAATCTCCAACACTCTGTTCCTTGTCCCCTTTTCTTGCTAATACCATCGCCAACACTTTGTTCCTTGTTCCCGTTGTTGCTAATGCAATCTCCAACACTCTGTTCCTTGTCCCCTCTATTGCTAATATCATCTCCAACACTCTTTTTCTTGTCATCTTTATTGCTAATACCATCTCCAACACTCTGTTCCTTGTCCCCGTTGTTGCTAATTCCATCTTCAGTGCCAGCTTTCTATAGCGTAATTCCTAGTAATTTGTAGTATCAGACTATTCTGTCATTATGTGCCATGTCGAGAAGCATATACGCATACTATATCGACAACCGCAACCTTGGCTTTGTGATGCATCTTTCGTTGGATGTTTTCCGTGCACCTAGAAACTTAAGTCTCTGAATTTGTCCTAAAATAACACATTTGACCTGTATCACACATTTAGGCACTATTCTTTTCTTAGCCCATCTCATTACTTTCTACCACTACAGAATCTAACAATAATTGTAGATGCATTTTTTTAAATGTACATTACATTTCCCATGATACACACACACACACACACACACACACACACACACTCACACACACACACACACACACACTCACACACACACACCAATTTCTTTGACATATAATCTCAGGCATTTATAAAACACAGTATATTTTCATTGTCCATATGTAAAAGGCATATGTGTTGTAAAGTTTTCTTTGATTACCTGTTGTAATTTACAACGGGAGGAGCCCCAAGGCTTTACATAGTTCAGGACCACAGGAAGTCTAAAATCAGACACATCATCATCCTCGTGCAAATAGCACCCTAATACTCACTGTTGTAGCCTGCACGGATGCCCGAAATAGAACCTATTCTGAGAGGGAAGTGGATATCTGGAATTCACCCTCTGTTGCAGGGATGGCCAAACCGTCAGGTGCCAGCACTAACCCAACAAACAGAAATACCTGGCAGAACAGTTTGTGAACTATTTCATCATTTGACTGTTTCAGTTTGATTGCTGCGGGGTTGATGGAGTGGCCGACTTCGTGAACAATACCCACTATTCGTGTGGTAACTACACGGTAAGGCTGGGCTCAACTGTGAGACCATTTTAAAGTTAAGATCCCCTTTCACGCCATTTAGGCGAATCAGGTATGTGGCAAGAGCACCCATATGTTTACAGACCAGTATGCACTATGTGGGTAATTTTCTCAGCAGTCTGTACATCACCGGGACTTACATCCTGGTACCCACTTTAGGCTGGGTCGACTTGCGACGCCCCATACCATAATGAAAACCCACGCAGCCAGTAGACGGTTTCGATCGCGGTATGTTGGAATTAAGAGTCAGACTCGGAACGCCTAAGCCACGGACCCCGCGTTATCGCCCTTTAGCCAGCACATAATCGATTCTTTCTTGACCAGCTAGATGCTCACAATAACTTTATTGCTTTCACATTAAAAATACATCTTTCTTTACTTGTTATTACTCTTCTGCTATGTTAACCCATTCTATCTCACATTTTACTGTAACCCATTGTGCGCACAATCGTTTTCCTTTATATAATAGCAATTATTATTGTACTAAGGCATGAAACTAAACATGGGATGCCCTTCCCATGCCGCACTGTAGCACAATATAACACTAACGACTGCACCGACAGAGAGGTACTAGCCAAAAGTGTTGAAGTAACAGCTGCCTGTGTCTGGAATAATAGCTAAGAGCTGCCTGGATCTGAAGTAACAGCTACCTGTGTCTGGAATAATAGCTACCTGGATCTGAAGTAACAGCTACCTGGGTCTGAAGTAACAGCTACCTGGATCTGAAGTAACAGCTACCTGTGTCTGGAATAATAGCTAAGCCAGCTGCCTGGATCTGAACCCCAACAGCTACCTGTGTCCTGAATAACAGCTAAACTAGCTGCCTGGATCTGACTGTAACAGCTGCTGTGTCTGGAATAATAGCTAAGAGCTGCCTGGATTCTGAAGTAACAGCTATTCTGTGTCTGTAATACTAGCTAAGAGCTGGGCTGGATCTGAACCATTTTAAAGTAACAGCTACCTGTGTCTGGAATAATATGTGGCAAGAGCTGCCTGGATCTGAAGTAGACAGCTACCTGTGTCTGGAATAATAGCTAAGAGCTGCCTGGATCTGAAGTAACAGCTACCTGTGTCTGGAATAATAGCTAAGAGCTGCCTGGATCTGAAGTAACAGCTGCCTGTGTCTGGAATAATAGCTAAGAGCTGCCTGGATCTGAAGTAACAGCTGCCTGTGTCTGGAATAATAGCTAAGAGCTGCCTGGACTCTGAAGTAACAGCTGCCTGTAGTCTGGAATAATCGCTAAGAGCTGCCTGGATCTGAAGTAACAGCTACCTGTGTTGCTGGAATAATAGCTACAGCTGCCTGGATCTGAAGTAACACTGCCTGTGTCTGGAATAATCTAGCTCAAGCTGCCTGGTGCTGAAGTAACAGCTGCCTGTGTCTGGAATAATAGCTAAGAGCTGCCTGGATCTGAAGTAACAGCTACCTGTGTCTGGAATAATAGCTAAGAGCTGCCTGGATCTGAAGTAACAGCTACCTGTGTCTGGAATAATAGCTAAGAGCTGCCTGGATCTGAAGTAACAGCTACCTGTGTCTGGAATAATAGCTAAGAGCTGCCTGGATCTGAAGTAACAGCAAACTGGATCTGAAGTAACAGCAAACTGGATCTGAAGTAACAGCTACCTGGATCTGAAGTAACAGCTGCCTGTGTCTGGAATAATAGCTAAGAGCTGCCTGTGTCTGGAATAATAGCTAAGAGCTGCCTGTGTCTGGAATAATAGCTAAGAGCTGCCTGTGTCTGGAATAATAGCTAAGAGCTGCCTGGGTTTTAAGTAATTGCTTTCCAGACTAGTGAGGATATGTTCGATTCTCAATCGAGACTCAGTCAGTCTTGGGGTGGGTACTGGGAAATGCGGTTGCCAGCTTGTGAATGAGTACTGGGAATTGCGGTTGCCAGCTTGGGGGTGGGTACTGGGAATTGCGGTTGCCAGCTTGTGAATGAGTACTGGGAATTGCGGTTGCCAGCTTGTGAATGAGTACTGGGAATTGCGGTTGCCAGCTTGGGAGTGAGTACTGGGAATTGCGGTTGCCAAGTGAGTACTGGTTGCGGTTGCCAGCTTGTGAATGAGTACTGGAATTGCGGTTGCCAGCTTGTGAATGAGTACTGGGAATTGCGGTTGCCAGCTTGTGAATGAGTACTGGGAATTGCGGTTGCCAGCTTGTGAATGAGTACTGGGAATTGCGGTTGCCAGCTTGTGAATGAGTACTGGGAATTGCGGTTGCCAGCTTGTGAATGAGTACTGGGAATTGCGGTTGCCAGCTTGGGAGTGAGTACTGGGAATTGCGGTTGCCAGCTTGTGAATGAGTACTGGGAATTGCGGTTGCCAGCTTGGGGGTGAGTACTGGGAATTGCGGTTGCCAGCTTGGGAGTGAGTACTGGGAATTGCGGTTGCCAACTTGTGAATGAGTACTGGGAATTGCGGTTGCCAGCTTGGAAGTGAGTACTGGGAATTGCGGTTGCCAGCTTGTGAATGAGTACTGGGAATTGCGGTTGCCAGCTTGGAAGTGAGTACTGGGAATTGCGGTTGCCAGCTTGGGAGTGAGTACTGGGAATTGCGGTTGCCAGCTCAGGAGTCAATGAGCGCAGGCTGCTCTATACAAGTATAGAACTAGCATCATATAATCCGCCTGGCGGTGGCGATCATGTCTCTTCCTTCCTGCGTGCTTTTGACATGACTATGCTGCTTGGGTAATTTTTTTTCTCATGTTGTTTAGGCTTTCCACATCAAATTAATCTGGCTGACTAATCAAGTGACCCTCTGAAGTGCTGAAGTGGTTCTACTGTTAGTTTCCATCTCTGAACGGTTCCACAACCACCACAAGGAATGACAGGGCCAAACTGGACATTAAAAGACAACATAATATTTCCACAAGTTATATATTTAAAATAAACAAATCACATTTCTTTAGTTTGCTCTGATGAGATGCAAAAGGCAAGATATTATTAGTAGCAAAATACTACCATGTCACACTTAAATTACACCTGGTGCGTAATTTGGAACAAACGAGTGAAGGAAACATTGCTTATATGAGGTTGGAACAAACGAGTGAAGAAAACATTGCTTATATGAGATTGGAACAAACGAGTGAAGAAAACATTGCTTATATGAGGTTGGAACAAACGAGTGAAGGAAACATTGCTTATATGAGGTTGGAACAAACGAGTGAAGGAAACATTGCTTATATGAGGTTGGAACAAACGAGTGAAGGAAACATTGCTTATATGAGGTTGGAACAAACGAGTGAAGGAAACATTGCTTATATGAGGTTGGAACAAACGAGTGAAGAAAACATTGCTTATATGAGGTTGGAACAAACGAGTGAAGGAAACATTGCTTATATGAGGTTGGAACAAACGAGTGAAGGAAACATTGCTTATATGAGGTTGGAACAAACGAGTGAAGGAAACATTGCTTATATGAGGTTGGAACAAACGAGTGAAGAAAACATTGCTCATATGAGGTTTTTGCTTGGAACTCGGGGTCAAAATGCCACATCTGAGTCTGTCTTATATTTCCCAGGAAGGCTGTTATATTGAGTTGATTAAACTGATCGACGACAACGAACAATGGGCAGGCTTGGTTTTGGCTGTGCTTCTATTTCTTCAGGTAAGATTGTTATTGTGGTATGGGGCGTCGCAGGTCGACCCAGCCTGAAATGGGTACCGGAATGGCTGTCCTTGGGAAGTAAAGACGGCTGGCGTAATGCTGACCACATTACCCACCTAGTGCCGATTGGTCTGTAAAAATATGGGCACTCTTCCTATATGCCTGATGCGCCTAAGGCGTGAAAAGTGATCTTTACTTTTTTTTTTTTTTTTTATGATAGCTCTATTCAATACGGTTCAGTCTATGGAGTGCTCTTCGCCTGCAAATAAAGGTAAAGGTAAAACCAGCGTCATCGCACACGGTTGTAAACCATAAGTGCTCTGCCACCACAACGGACAGCTGATAAGAACTATCCACCTGTGTCGCCGTTCGCAAGTAACTCTGTAGCTACAGCATCGTTCCTCAATTTACCCCATTTCCTAGAGGCTGGGTAAACCCGGGAGCCGCCCGGTTTCGAACACAGACCGTGGGCTGCAGCGAGTAGCAGCTGGATTTGAAAGCCAGCTTCTTGTCGACTTCGCTAACGCGGCCGCCTGCCCAAGAGCTCGAATGAAGACAAAATTCCATAACTCCATTGACAACCGCCAGAAATTTGGGCTGCTTTAGTTGTAGCTGTTTTAGTTGTTCTTTGTTAGTGATGCTATTGTTATATTTGTTGTTGTTGTTCTTATCATCATCATCATCACCCTGTGAAAATATCCATTCTGGTTTTCATTACAGGTGTTGGAGGTAATTTTTGCCATTGCAATATTCAAGGAAGGCAACAAGATATCGCCCTTCTGAAACTGCAGAAACACTCGATGATTCCACGATGTCAACTTATAGTCCTGTGTCCTTGTTATGTCTTGTTATGCGGTGTTATCTTGTATTTTTCATTCGTATCTCTTATTCCTAATGAAAGTAGATCTCTATACGCAGCAATAAGAAAGAGACAGACACTGTTTTTTGGCCACATAATGAGAAGAGAGACACTGGAGAACATTGTGACAACTGGAAAGATCAGTGGAAAAAGGGCTAGAGGCAGACCAAGAGAGATGATGCTGGATGGGCTGAAACGATGGCATGGAGGGATTTCATCAAGAGAGCTGTTCCAGGCAACCAGGGATCGTGATCTTTGGAGACGCAAGAGCGCCTACGCCTGTTGGCAGGGCACATGATGATGATGATCTCTTATTCATAAGTGACTCCTTGAGTATGAAAGTACATGAGGCGAAAGAGCTGGCGAGAGAACGAGTTTCTTTTAGGGAGACTGTGATGAGAGCTACTTTTTGCAAAGAACCTGCTACATGATGATGATGATCTCTTATTCAGGGCAAAATGTTACACGGGCCTACGAGCCCAGTTCTAAACACTTTGAAAAAAAGTTTGTTATTTCTTTCTTTCGTTGATTTATGGATCTCTTCCTGCTCCAGACAATTATTATATTCACCTTTTTTAGAAGCAGACTACCGAATGTACCTTCATTATCATTAAGTGGACAGATTCTCTACCTGAATCTTGCTAACGAGAATAACAATCACCCTTTCTCCTCAGTCATCACCCCAAGAGTTAGGCTGCACTCAGGGTCGTATTTAGATTGTTGAGGCCCTGCGCTGTATAAAGCCTTGATGCCCCACCGTTGTGAATTACGCTAGCTAATCTAAGAAAACTTAGAAAATTGTCACGGATATGGAAGCTAACCATCAGAACAACGAATCCAGAAAAAAAAATTTTTTTTTTAAAGAACTGAAGACTGTAAAACGAGGACATCAACAAGGCATTTCTAGTTTAACAGATCACAATGGGAACATGATAAATAATAATGAGAAAGTATATAACAAATAAAAGAAAAACCTGGCTGATTTGTTAAACTGTGAAACTCTACTTAATACGTATCTTCAGAAAGAGATATTAACATGTGAACCAAATATTGAAGAGCCTGATTTTGAAGAACTACCGTATGTCATAACACGGCGTAAAAAATAACAAAGCAACTGGTGCTGATGGAATTGCAGCTGAACTTTCAAAAGAAGGTTGTCATGCAATACATGTAAAGATATATGAATTCATAAAACTAATTTGGAAGACGGAGAAATTACCCTATCAATGAAAAGTGTCTTTATTGATACACATTTTTAAGAAAGGAGACGCACAAGTGAAAATTATAGAGGAATATCACTGTTATCTACAAGCTGTAAGATACTATCGTCGGTACTGCTAAACAGGCTAAAACCATCGTTGTTGACATATTGGGAGATTACCAAGCGGGTTTCCAACAGAACAGATCAACAGATCGTCTATTCATTTTACGGCAAAATTGGGAATATAGAAAAGATGTACATAATGTTTTTGTTGATTTTTAAAAGGCGTATGATAGAGTGCACATAATCAGTTTATGGAATGCTGTGGGGGACTTTGGAATATGAAAAAATTAATTAGCATGACCAAACTATGCATAGAGGACATTCGTAATATAGTAATATATAAAGGCAGAAAGTCCGACCTTTGTTTCAAATAACATCTGGTTTAAAGCAAGGTGATGCTCTGTCGCCACTTCTTTTCAGCTTGGCTCTGAAACTTAGAGCGCAACTCAAAGAAATGAAGCTTAATTACAGGTTTCTGAAAACAGAGTCTTTGGACCAATCAAAGATTAAAACAGCGGAGAATGGAGAGTGAGAAGCAACAACGAAATCCATAATCTGTTTAAATCACCACTGATTGCTGGCATCATGAAAGCTAAAAGATTTAAATGGCTTGGACATATTGAAAGAATGTCAGATGACAGAGAAGTAAAAACTGTATACACCAGGGAGATGAATGGTCGTAGACCACGAGGCAGACCAAGAAGACGATGGAGAGATAATGCCCAGGCAGAACTACAAACACCTGATGTCGCTAACTGGAAAGAGAAGGCCAACCAGAGAGATACATGGAGGCGGGGGATATCTGCACCAATGAACCTCAAGGGCTCGGAATGCTGAAAACGAAGAAGAAGAAGAATCTTAGAAAACTAAAACATATACGCTTTTATAAAATACGGATAACACGAATATATTGTCCTTTAAATGTTATGAACAGAAATAATAAACAAGGAGTTTGCAACATGACAGAAATGATAGACATCTCTAAAAGGCTGTCAGTTACTATTTGAAACATTTTGTTTCTTGATTTCCGAAATGCAAAAACCATCGATTATGACATCAAAAGATATGCTGCATAACTTGTCGCTGTGTGTACATGTGATTTTGAAGTGCTACCACTAGCCACTCTATTCTGAAAGGAGAGAGAGAGAGAGAGAGAGAGAGAGAGAGAGAGAGAGAGAGAGAGAGAGAGAGAGAGAGGCTATCGTTGGTGTAGTTCATGTCTTTATTTAACTCCGTCCATGATGTTTTTTTCTCTTAATCTTCCTCTTTTTCTTCTTGTTCTTCGATTCTTATGTCAGAAAACCGTGCATCGGTAGACCAGTCACCCTGATGAAAGTTATCGTGCAATCCCTATCTTCTACTGTGCGTGGCTGAGGTTGGGACTGTCCAAAAAGCCTCTCTTTTAGCGGCACACAGTCTACATAACCTAAATAGATTCTGCTGAAGACACGTATTTGCCTCTTGTCTGTTCCAGCTAATTTTCTCATCAGTTGTGTTCTCTCGAGTCCCTTAGTTTGTTTTTTCTCTGTCTACTTTTTTTTTCATTTGTGTCTTCTGTCACATGTGACACCTAAGTATGATGTGGATCATTTAAATGTAGTCTTGCTTTCTGCAGTTTGATATATAGTCAGAAAATAATGGGTGTGGTGTTGATGACATTTACCTGCATGTATCACCTATTAGATCACTTCTCTCATAGCCGATTTCGGTAAATAACTCCCTAAGATAAAGAATAGATAGAGAAACAAATTTGGGCAATGCAAATGTTTAGGAAACAGCTGCTAAAAATTATGATTAATAAGAAAAACATAACCCGTAAATAAAAACAAAGAAAGGAAACAAATTCGCATATGTTTTAACTGACTGACTGACTTTCTACCCCACCAGGACATCACACAAGCGTCAAGATGTGCCACCATGTGGGTGAGGATCACGGTGGAGAGGTCCCAGAAACCGCGTTCAGCCCCTAGGCCATATTTATGGCCAGGCTATATTGCGGCCCCTGGCAAGAGCCAGAGTAGGGCTTCAAATAAAGAAAAATTTCGTCCTAAATAGGACGCAAAGATATTGATATATAATATGTGTTGAGAAGAAACCTCTGACCTGTCGGATCAGGGTCTCCTTCTCTCTCTCTCTCTCTCTCTCTCTCTCTCTCTCTCTCTCTCTCTCTCTCTCTCTCTGACCTTTAGGTCACTCAACGAATATCTCTGTTCAGTGCAGCAACCTGTTAGGGCGAGAATGACAATGTCCTTGTAGCAGAACACGAATGCCGTAAACTAAAAATATCACTTGATGTGCCAAGCTTGACCAAGGGGCTGATTTCACGACCTACTGTCGTTGCTGTCGGATCGCTGTTGTGATTACACGACAAGCTCTCCACATTAACTAAGGTTTAAAGGGGTTGGGGGAGGAAAGGACAAGATTTTTTTCAAAGTTTGGGATTAAAGAAGAGATAATAACTGCGAGAAATGAAAAGATGTGAAGTAGGAGAGAGACCGAAACAAAGAGAAAGACACAAAGATTTACAACAGCAAAAACACACATTAAATTTGATCTGGATGGGAGGAAGAGATGAGAGATCAAGAATGTGAGATAGATAGATAGATAGAAAAAAAAGGAGAGTGTTTGGGAGACATTTAAAGAGAGAAAATGCGTCTGATTTCATAGAGAAATAAAATTATTGAAACTAGATTAAACTCAGCGTTCGTTAAAGTTAAAAAGCTGGCATCCTGACTTTATTGCCAGATGATATTATTGCCGTTAATTCTCTTTATCAGGACACTTGTAAAAAGGCTCCATTCCCATCTTTAGCATACAGCGAATAATTTCACTGACATGTTGCTAGAAGCGGTTCGACTAAATAAATATAGATGTACAGTGTCGGCCTCATCTTTTGATCACATTTTTCTTCGCTGCACCAATCAGTCTACATCGTAATGATCTATTTGCGTCTGCATCGTTCACTTAAGTAGTGTGAAGTAAAAATCCATTTTTACGCCTTAGGCGCATCGGGCATATGGAAAGAGCATCCCATATTTTTCAGACCGATCGGCACTGGGTGGGTAATGTGGTCAGCATTACGTCCGGCCGTCTTTATTTACCCAGGACAGCCATCCTGGTATCCCATTTTAGGCTGGGTCGACCATGATGAAAAATCAACGCAGCCAGCAGTAGGTTTCGATCGCGGTACGTTGGAATTAAGAGTCGGACTCGCAACACTTAAGCCACTGACGCCGCTGCATCGTTCACTTACTCCCTAAAAATTAACTAAACACATATGGCTTGTCATGTTTCAATTCTCCCTGTTCATCTCAAAACACGCTTGCTTTCCCCGGGACCTCTAAAGCGGTTTTTGTTTGGAATGGAACATACTAAACCTTTCTCTGTATACTTTGTGAGTTGTCCTCTAGAGAATGGTGAATTAAGAATCGACATCACAACAATTGAGATACTCCCATAAACGCTCCATCCCTATCTTCAGCAGCAAGCTAAGAGTTTTAATTCAAATGGTACCAGCAACCATCTGAATATACATAGGTCTCGTCCTTTCCTTGAGTAATGAGCATTGGCTAGATCCCCTAGTAACTCCTCGCAGCGCCATTCTCCTCAGACCATAATGATGTATCTGTGCCTTCACACTGTTCAGTTGCCCCTAGAGGG